ATGGGGACGCCATGAGGACACTATTTCGTACCTCTGGCACCTTCGACTTGGTCATCTATTCTTGATACAATTGTCAAGAAGAACTATGGAATTGGTATTGGACTGGCATCTGTGAAGCAGTGGAAGGTTTGCCAAGGCTGTGCGTTTGGTAGACAGATTTGGGCAAACTTTCAATCAAAGTCTTCTTAGCATGCTACTAGACTTTTGGAAGTTATTCACAGTGACGTGTGTGGTCCAATGCAGATTTTGACATTCAGTGGTATGTGGTACTTTGTCACGTGCATTGATGAGTACTCGTATTTTACTAGGGTGTATTTTCTTCGAAACAAACAGAAGTTGCCAGCAAGTTTGCCTGATCTTGTTGCCTTTGCCGAAACACATACTGGCAACGCTGTGTAGGCGACCCGTTGGGATAATGGTGGCAAGTACAAGTCAAGTGAGATGGCTATGTTTTGTATGCGCTGCGGCACGCCACCATACACCTGGAGTTCCTGAGCTCATGAATAGCACGTAAGTAGAATGTGCTCATTGTATGCTTGAGCATATAAAATTGCCAAAAACGTATTGGGGTGAAGCTGTCATGACTGCCAATTTTTCAAGAAGTCGATGCCTGACGCGCAGTATCTCCTTTGATAAGTCATCATACCAAGTTTGGACTGGAAGGAAACTTGTATTGGCAAACCTTAAAGTGTTTGGTTGTCATGCTTTTGTGACAGTTTCAAAAGAAAAGCCGAGCAGACTTGATGTCCGCGCCACACTTTGTCGAATTTGTTGGCTATTCCGAGCATGAAAAGGCGTATCGGTTTTAAGATCTCAAAGCTGGCCCCGTTTGTATCAGTCGCGACGCCAAATTTCTCGATAACGTCTCTGATAATAGAAGTAAAGATTACTTTTAAGACCAAGTTGCTGATAATGTCGAGTCAACTACAGATGAAGATGTGCTGTCAGATGCTGTTTTCCAAGACGAAGGGACAATGATACATGAAGACAGTAAGAATACCAACAGCAAACGACATAAGCGTATGCAGTCTTTAGAAAGTGCCACCGTCTTTCCAAGCGCAATAAAATTTGTTCAGCACGACAATTTTCACGGCCTAATCAGGTCTGGAAACAATCATCTCCAGTGAACACAATCGTTTGAATCGGCCGAAAGTGAAGCAAAAGATCCGGTACAGCAAGAATCAAGGGCTTGA